TCATCACCAGCAGCATCATTATCAGCATCATCACCAACGCCACTATCACCACCACCATTACCATCATCGTCGTCATCATCAGTATCATCAACATCATGATGTGCACAAACATCAACCGAATCCAACCCGCCCTTTGCGCTAAGGTGTTCTAACGAATTCTGTCTGTCCTCTTGCAACAGCCCGTTTCCCGTCGGGGAAGGTACCCCCCCTCCCTTCCGTGAGGTTTTTTGGGGCAGGCCGCGATCGGTTAGAGCGTCCAAGATGGGGCCAGGGTGGCTCCAAGACGGCCTCAAATGCTCCAAGATGGCCTCCAAGGCGGCTCAAGATAGCCGGGGATGGCTCACGATAGCTCCCCCCCTGCCTCCACGAGGCCCGACGAGGGCCACACGACGGTTCCAAGTGTACTCGGAGCCCGCTTGCCCCCACCCCCCCGCACGAAGCCGAACTCCTTCACAGAAGATAGGGATATCAATCATGCGTGACTTCCCGCTTGTCCGCTTCCGATACGCTCTCGGTGCCTCAAATGGTTCAAGGGAGGTCCAAAGAGGGGCCCCACGATGCCCCCCCCCCCCCCCCAGGCGGCCCCAAAAGCGCCCAAGAGCGGGCCAAGCGCGCCCCAAGAGCGCTCCAAGAGGCGGTGTCGATGGCCCCTGGGGGGCAAGGCACATCAAAGACCCCAATCTCCCCCTCCCCCTTCCCTTGATCGATGTCGTCCAAGATTGCCCAAAGAGGGTCTCCAGGGCTCCCAAGGGACTCCCCAGAGGGCTCCAAAAATGCGGATCCCAAGATCCCCGAAAGGAGTCCCAACAGGGCTTCAAAAGGCGATGGTGAGGGCTTTGTCCTCGTCCTCGTCGCCATCCTTCTCCTCGTCCTCGTCCCTGCCATCATCATTTGCCATGTCCTTGTCCTCCTCTTCCTCGTCGCCGTGGCCGTCGTCGTCGAGGTCTCCTTCCTCCTCCTCATCCTCCTCCTCCTCCTCCTCCTCCTCCTCCTCCTCCTCCTCCTCCTCCTCCGTCTCCTTCTCCTCCTCCGTCCCTTGCCCCCACGCAGGCCCCAAGGATGACTCGAAGAGGCCCTCCAGGAGCGCCCCCTTGCTCCCAGAGGTCTCTCTGCTCACACTGGTTGCCCGCTGTGATTCACTGCCTGTGCCTCTTCGTGCCCTTTTTCCAGACAACTCTCAATGGCAAGGTTTTCGGATGGGCTGGTGGGGATACAATACGTGCAGGAATCCAATCACTATCATGATCCTCATTCGCAAGTCCAGTATCATCATCATCACCATCATCAACAACATCATCATAGCCTCGCAGTTCAACATCAACAGCGGCATCTCCCTCGTATTCAAATTCCTCATCAGATGATTCATCGTCATCGTATTCCCCTAAATCCTCCTGGTCATGCTCGTCCCACTCGTCCTGGTCGTCCTTACCGTCCTCTGCGTAGTTGCCCTCCATCGTCATCACCACCGTCATCAACATCGATGTCGTCGTCACCGTACTCAACATCAATGTCAGCATCGGCAGCAGTATCAACAACATCATCATACGCATCACATCGGCTACATCATCACCAACACCTTCACCATCAATAACAACAACAAACAGGCGGCGCTCCAGAGCGCCGGAATTCAGGGAGCAATCGAGCTCGATGGTTCAGTGTATGGAATCCTAGTATGGGGTACAGGGAGACATCGAGCTCGATTACTCCCTGCATCCCATAATGGATTCCCGCCATGCCACACTGGGATCCCATGCAGGGAGCAATCGATCAATACCAACAACAACAAGAGCAACTACAACAACCACTTCAACGACAGCATCAACGACGATAACAACAACAACAACAACAACAACAACAACAACAACAACAACAACAACAACAACAACAACAACAACAACAACAACAACAACAACGACGACGACGACGACGACGACGACGACGACTACAACAACCATAACAGCAACAACAGCAACATCAACATGATCAGCATCAGCATCATCATCATCAAAACCATCATCATCATCATCATCATCATCATCAACAACAGCATCATCACCATAGTCAACATCATCATGCCCATGAGCAGCATCATCACCACCATTATCATCATGATCAGCATCAGCATCATCATCACCACCATCATCACCATCACCACCACCACCACTAGCATTATCATCATCATCATCATCATCATCATCATCATCAGCAGCAGCATCATCAACCGCATCATCAGCGACATCAGTATCATCATCATCATCATCATCAGCAGCAGCAGCAGCAGCAGCGCAACCATCATCTTCATCATAATCATCATCATCCTCATCAGGAGCATCAGCATCATCATCAGCATCATCATCATCTTCAGGATCGTCGTCACCACCATCATCATCATCATCAGCAGCAGCATCATCATCGTAATCGTCATCGTCATCGTCATCGTCATCGTCGCCGTCGCCGTCGCCGTCGCCGCCGCCGTCGGCGTCGCCATCATCGCCAACATTTCATCAGCCCCTCGCCGTATTCAGCACCGGCGACACCCGCCTCATCAACAGGAACATCTCAAGACCAATCCTCCTCCCCAGCCACGACCAATACACCCTTGAACACCTCCAAAAAACTGCATAGATCAAGATCCGAGCCGAACCACCCGAAATGAACCGGGCCGAACCGAACCAGTGCGGACCAATATTTTTCTCAACGCCAACCGAACCACACCGAACTGGTCATTGTCGACACTCGAAGCAACCCGAACCAAACCGGCTTCAAACTTGAAACTAAACCGGGCCGAACCTCCTTCTCGAACTGGCCTGAATAAAACCGGACCGGACCAGGCCGAGCACGACGACGACGAGTAATTACGTACGACGAACGCAACGAGTGCGACGAGTGCGACGAGCACGACGAATACGACGAGTACGACGACGCGCACGACGACGACGACGACGACGACGACGACGACGACGACGACGACGACGACGACGACGAATACGACGAGAACGACGGGCACGAGAGCGCGACAAGTGCGACGAGCACCACGAAACACGACGAGCGTGACCCGAGCCTCCCTGGGGCCCTCCCTCTTCGCCCCCCATCTAAGGGTGCCCCGTCGGGTGCCCCCCTCGGGTGCAGGCCTCGACAGCCCCCCTCGGGTGCCCCCTCTCGGGTGCCCCCTCGGGCGCCCCCCTCGGGCGCCCCCCTCGACGGCCCCCCCCGGGTGCCCCCCATCGGCGCCCGCCCCCCCCCCGCGGGCGCACCCCTTGACGACCCCCGACCCCACGACCCCTCTCGGGTGCGCCACCACTCTCGGGCACCCGCGCCCCCCCCCCGTCGACGGCCCCCCCCTCGGGTGCGCCCCCGTCGACGGCCCCCCCCATCGACCCCCTCGGGTGCCCCCCTCGGGTCCCCCCCCCTCGGCTCCCCCCGTCGACGCCCCAGGACCCTCGTCGACGACCACGCTCGGGCGCCCCCCGTCGACGGCCCGCCTCGGGCGCTCGCCGCGACGACCCCGCTCGGGTGCCCCTCTCGGGTGCCCCTCTCGAGCCCCCCCCTCGGATGCCCCTCGTCGACGCCCCCTCTCGGGTGCCCCACCCTCGGGTGCCCTTTTGGGCGCCCCCCTCGACGACCCCATTCGGGTGGTGCCCCCTCGGGTGCCCCCCATCCACAGCCCCCCACCCCACCCCCTTGGGTGCCCCCCCGCGCCCCCCCCCGTCAAACGCCCCCCGTCGACGACCCCCCTCGACCTCGACGACCCCCTTCGACCCCATCGACAGCCACCCCCCTTGGGTGCTCCCCGTCGACGACCCCCCTTCCACGACACCCTCGACGACCCCCCTCGGGTGCCCCCCTCGGGTGCATCCCTCGGGTGCCCGCCTCAAGTGCCCGACTCGGGTGCACATGATCGGCGCCCCCCCGAAGCGCCTAAATGCAACGTATCCAATGTGTCCAACGATTGCAAGCATGCTACAAGCTGTACTGCTTCACACTTTAATGTTACCCTGCCTACGCCCCCCCCCGAGGCCACGCCGCTTCCGCCGACCAGGGTGCCCCCCCCCCCTTCTGCAGCCCAAGAGCTTGCAACAACCGTTCTGGAAATCGATGAGTTGGGCCCCGTCACAATGGCTTACGATGGCCCCAGTACAAGCCAAGGCGACCCCAAGAGAGACCAGGATAGGCCCAAGATGGCCCAAAACGCCTCCAAGACAACCCAAGAGGGCCCAAAGAGGACCCCCAACAGAGCCTCCAGTGGCCAAATCACTGATGCTCATTAAGTGTTTGAACGATATCAACGTTCTCATTTTTTCCGACTGTCAGACGCACATGACGGCCCAAGCAAGACGGCCCAAGAAGCCCGCAAGAGGGCGCCAAGACGGCCCCAAAGGGCCCCAAGACGGCCCAAAGAGGCCCCCAAGACGGTCCAAGAGGCCCCCAAGACGGACCAAGAGGATCGAGAGAGCCCCAAGGCGGCCGCGAGAGGCCAACAGGACGGCCTCAGAAGGGACCAAGCGACGCAAGAGCGCCCCAAGACGACGACTGGACTGCGCGTGCTCTGGACGTGCACCCCGCGAAGCGAGAGGAATCGAACAGGTCGTCTTGACCTCGCCCCGCCTCCCTCGCCCCCTCCCTCCTCCCAACTGCCTCCCGCCTTCTCCTGTCTTTGTGCGAAGCACCTTGCAAAATGAGGAAGACGACGACGACGACGACGACGACGAGACGAGACGAGGAACACGATTACGACGACGACAACCATGACGAGAGGAAGAACACGATTACGACGACGCCGACGACGCAGACGACGACGCAGACGACGACGACGACGACGACGACGACGACGACGACGACGACGACGACGACGACGACGACGGGGGAAGGAGAAACAGTAGGGATGAGGGAGGAGCGAGGAAGAGGAGGAGGAGGAGGAGGAGGGGGAAGAGGAGGAGGAGGAGGAGGAGGAGGAGGAGGAGGAGGAGAAGGGAGGCGCTCTGCAGAAGCATATCTCTATGGGCATGCGCGCTCTGCCGCAGCAGATCCCTGTAGGTATCTGCTATCCGGGCTGGTCGTGGTTATTGCAAGACATCACCAGACGGCGCCGGCGCGAAACGTGGCGACACCTTCCCCCTCCCCCCCTCCCGGTGACGCCCGTTATCGCCCAGAAATGAAATGAACAAAGGCTCTCCATCGGCCAAGGCATCAACGCCATTACCGTAACCAGTGCCAGCACCACCACCGCCGTCCGCATCCGCGCCAAACAGATGCGCCTGCCAACCGTCGCCATTTCGCCCGCTTCCCTTTGCCCTTTGCCTTGTTCGCGCGACCCTGACCCCGGACTCCTGAATACGTTCACCCGCGACCGCGACCGGCCCGGGGCTCCCCGGCCACTGACTGTGTCGATGCTGAGCTACACTGCCAACGCCTCGCTGTCCTGAATACTTGCTATGTTCCTGCTGGCTAGAGCACTCGACACGCGTGCGGAGCTACACTGCCAATGCCACGTTTTCCTGTGGCCTTGCTGCGCTCCTGCTCTGAATTAGAGACCTCCCAGATGGGGTCGGGATAAATGGGATCGGAGAATCGCGCCGCGCTCGCCGATGCATCACCAATGCATCGGCGAAGCATCGGCGATGTATCGGCGATACATCGGCGACGTGTCAGCCACGTCGGCGAGGAGAAAATCGGGCTCCACATGGAACCGCATCGCCGATGCATCGGCGATGCGGCGCGATCCGCCGACCCCATCTACTCCGACACCCTCTGGGAGGCCTACAAGAGCTCGAGCCACCCATGTAAGAACTGGCCTCAGGTCGGGCATGTCCTCCTACAGGCGGATTCTGGGCGAAAACTTAGAGATACCCCAAAGTACTCAAAGAGAGTCAGAAATATTCGAAGAATCGCCCCCAGACTAGCTTTTGCCAACTTTTGAACACGCCTCCTGTTAGTGACTACCTACCAAACCACCCCCAACCCAACCCGAAGACCCGAATTTCGGGTTGGGGGGGGTACGAGCTTCATGTGTGTTTTCTCAACGTTCCCCGACCCCCCCCAACTGGAAATGGAGGGCAAATTGGGGCCTTCGGGTTGGGTTGGGGTGGTTTGGTGGGCGGTGAGTTAGAGGGACAGCCCCGCCTTGAAACTGGCCGAGGGCCTCCCCCGTGGCCGCGCGGACCGCGCCGCGCCGCGCCCGGAGCCCGCCCCTGCCCGCAGAGGACCCGCGAGACGGGGCCTCCGCAGGGGCACCGCGAAGTCGGGCATGTCCCCCTGCAGGCGGCCTTTGGCGCGAAAAAAAGGCCGGACAATGCTCCCGAAGGGTCCAGATGTGGTCAGAAAATCGCCCCCTGACTATTTTTTTTTGACTGCTTTGGACGACTCCTCCTGCAGAAGTGAAGGGGCCCCAGGACACACAAATAAATACACACAAAGAAAAAGATGCCCCATATTTTCGCATAGTTTCTGGGTCTTTGTCTTCCCCCCCACTTCCCATATTTTCCCATGTTTTCCTGGGAGTGGACGATTAATTGTGTCTGTGTGTTTTTTCCCCTCCTGCAGGAGGGCAGGCCCGGCTTAAGGGTACGGTCTCGCCGCCGGGGCGAGGCGGCCTCGGCGGCGAGAGGGGAGGCCCTGCCCCCGCGATGGCTCCGAGGCCGAGGGGCGAGCGAGCGAGCGCAGCGCGCAGATCCGCGGGAGCGGGACCCTCGATGCTCCGCCTCCTCCTCCGCCTCCTTCTTCTCCTCCACCTCCTCCTCCTTCTCCTCCTTCTCCGACTCCTCCTCCTCCTCCTCCTCCTCCGCCCTCCTCCCCCTCCTCTCCTCCTCCTCCTCCTCCTCCTCCTCCTCCACCTCCTCCTGTCTCCTTCGAAGGTAGCGAGCCGCTCTTGCGTGGCCACCTCGGAGCTCGGTCCTTGAGCTACCTGGTATGCCCCCTGCCGGTCCCAGTGAGAAGGCAGGGCTGCAGCACAACAAATCGCAGGGGACTTTGACAGTACTGCGTAGGTCACCTGAGTAGGTGCTCGGACGTCGTACCACCTTTATGCGGATGTCCTGTCCTGTCCTGTCCTGTCCTGTCCTGTCCTGTCTCCTTCACTGGAGGAACAACAAAAACATATCAACGTAAACTTTCGGAACTCCGCGCGGATGTCTTGGGTCCGCGCTGGAGCCCCCCTCCCTGCTGCGCGGAGCGCGCCAGGGGCGGCGCCGGAGGCGCCGCCAGTGGCACCGGTGGGGCCCAAGCGCGGATCCAAGAAATCCGCGCGGAGCGCATCCCTTTTCTCCTCATCCTCTTCTCCAACTGCTGATGCCTCATCGTCGCCGTCCGCCTCCTCCGACCTCCCTCCTCCTCCTCCTACCCCCCCCTTCGCCGCACGCCTCATCAGCAGGCTCCAAGACGCTCAACAGCTGTGCCTGATGTTGCGCGCAGCCGCGGGTCAGCGCGGGGGTGCCGGAGATTTCCTACAGTGAAGCTGGCGCCCACCTAGAGGCCATCGCACGTGCGATGCATCGCCCTCCCAGCCCGTGCCACTCGTAACCGTCACGAGGCAGAGGGGCGAGAGAGGGCGAGGCTCAGGTCGGGCCTGTCCCCCTACAGGGGGAGTTGGGGCGGAAAGATACTCCAAAAATAGTCCAATAATGCACAGAAATTGTCCAAAAATAATCACCAGACCATGTTTTAACTATTTTTGAGCACTCCTCCCGTAGAGGGCCCGACTTAAGGCGAGGCGGTCAATGCCAGGGGGCAGCGGACCGCGGAGGACCGCGGCCAAAGATCCGCGGCGCAGCCCTGCGCAGGCACCGCGCCTCGCGCACCCCCCGCCTCCGCCCGCTCCCGCGCGGCGAGAGGGGGCGCTTGCCGGCCTCCGGCGGCGGCTCTTCGCCGAGGCAGTTGCGCGGCTTGGTCTTCTTGCCCTGCGAGGGGGCCGTCGGCGGCGACGGAGGACCGGACGGAGGACGGAGGCAGGGGGAGGAGGAGGGGGGAGAGGGAGGGGGGACAAGCCAGGTGGGGGGAGGGGGGAGGAGGAGGGGGGAGAGGGAGGTGGGACAAGCCAGGTGCGCTCGCGTCATATCTGACATCCTACCCCTCCCTCCCATCCCTTGCCGCGGCGTAGATCTCCTTTCGATTCGCGCAGCCGGATGTCGTAGCAGGGCGAAGCATTAGATGGCATACTATGGTTTTGAAGATCAACGCGTAGCCTGACATAGCATGGCGTGGCGACGCCCCAAAGTGAGGGGGGCCTTCGGCGGCCCAAAAAATCCACGAATCGGCACCGAATGTGTAATCACTTCCGATGATTGCTTCTGGGGGGCATTTTCTACATTTTGGGGCCTATTTGGGAGGACCGAAAGCCATGCCGTGGCATGGCGCTGGAAATACTGACGCCAGCGCTGCAGCGATAGCACGATTCGGAACGAGCGGAAGCGCGAAAATGAGGCCAGCGCTGCAGCGGGAGCACGATTCGGAGGACACGTAGCCTGACATAGCATGAAGTGGCGACGCCCCAAAGTTGGGGGGGGCTTCTGCGGCCCCAGAAATCAACGAATCAACACCGAATGTGGAATCACGTCCGATAGTTTTGGGTAGGCATTTTCTAAATGTTGAAGCCTATTTGGAAGGACCGAAAACCATGCCGTGGCATGGCGCTCGAAATAATGACGCCAGCGCTGCAGCGGGAGCACGATCCGGAACGAGCGGAAGCGCGGAAATGGGGCCAGCGCTGCAGCGGAAGCACGATTCGGAACGATCACCATCCTCATCACCATCACCATCACCATCATCATCATCATCACCATCAGCATCATCGTCCTCCCGCAGGGGTCTCATCATCCTCCTCACCATCACCATCAGCATCATCATCCTCCCGCAGGGGTCTCATCATCCTCCTCACCATCACCATCAGCATCATCATCATCATCATCATCATCAGCATCAGCATTATCATCGTCATCATCAGCATCATCGTCATCATCATCATCGTCACTGTTCTAAGTCACCCAGAAGGCTGAACTTGCACACTGCTGGGACTGGCCGCGCAATGTTGGTCGGAAGGAGCGGGAGCGGACACGACAGCATCATGACAAACCAGGCGGCAACGCTGCTCTCGTCTCGTCATCGGCAGCGTTATCAGCGGCATCACCGTCATGACCACCACCGTCGTCATCACAACTGCTACCGTTACCATCACCATCTCATCGGAATTCCTGAAGGCATGCATCCGAAATCCTCAAGGATCCCCCAAATGCCCCAGAATCCTCCATGCATCCTCAGGAACCTTTCGGGGACCCTTAATGCACTTACAGGGATCATTCATGAGTCCTTTCAGGAAGACCGATGAACCCTTTCAGGAATCTTAAGATATTCCTCACGGATCCGTGAGAAATCCTTCAAGAACCCTCAGGCACCCTCACGCATCCTCAGGGACCCCCTGGACCCTCAGGGGCCCATCAAGAAACCGAAAGAATCCTTCCTGGAACCCTTGAAGGTTCCCTGGCAGTTTTTTAAGGATGTTCGAAAAATCCTCCGCGAATCCGTTAGGAATGCTAAATGATGTTCAAAGATCTCCCGTGACCTTGCGGATTTCTCCGGGTTCCTACAGGCATCCGTTGGGAACCCTCGGGGATATTTCAGGAATCCTTCAAGACCCTCAGGATTCCCTGAGGACCCTTTCCTTCAAGATCCCTGAGAAAATCTGTCTGGCTGGAATCCTTAGAGGATCGTCCGAAAATCCATTAAGAATCATCAAGAACGCCCAAGGATCCTTCAGGAATCCCCAGAAATCCTCCTGAATCCTCAGGAGCCCTCAAGAATCCTTCAGGGATCGTTCAAGGATCGTTCATGGATGCTTGAGGAATCCTGCCGGAATCCTTCGGGGATCCTCTAGAATCCTCAAGACTCCTCCAGGAACCCTCAGCACCCTCGCGAATCCGCAGAAATCATCTGCAACCCATAGGAACCCAAACGAATCTTCCAGAATCCCCCAGAAGCCTTCGGAATCCACAAGAATCCCCTGGAACCCGTAGTCCAAAGTCCAACGCTGCGAGCGCAGCGCAGCGCGGAGTCCCCGCGACGCGCGCAGGTCGCCCTGGAAGGGGCCCAGCGACGCGCGCGGGTCGTCCGCTGCGCGGAGCAAAGAGAGCTAGCTGGCTGGCTGATAGTGGGCAAGGCTCTGGCCGCTGGGCAGAGCGACGACGGGCGAGCGAGGCGCTGGGCAGGACGCAGCACGGAGTTCCCACGAGGCGCGCCGGTCGCCCCGAGAAGGCCCCAGCGAAGCGCGCGGGTCGTCCGCGGCGCGAGGCCAAAGAAGTAGTTGGACAGTCGAGAGAAGGCGCGGCTCGGGCGGGGCGCCCCCCAGGCCAGGCCTCGCGGATAAACTCGGTGAAGCCGAGCTCCCTGGCTAGGGCCGTCGCCTCCCTCCTGCACCGCTTCGCGCGCGCCGCAAACTGCTCCAGCTGCTTCCGCAAGCCCTCCGGCGGCCCCGCCAGGAAGAACTCGATGCGCGGCGCCCGCATGAGCAGGAGGCCCTCGTGGCGCGTGGCGCGCGAGAGCAGCACATAGAGCTCCAGCCACCAGTCGTCGCCCCCCATCTCGCCGTTCCCGACCTCGTGGCGACCGCAGTCCAGGATCACGCCTAGGCGACGTCGGCCGAGGGGGCAGCGCGCCGGACAGCCGACGGCCCAGGGCGAGAGTCCACAGGACCGAGATGGTCTGGCTGCGGACCTCTCGCGCCCAGTAGGTTCGGCTGAAGACTGCCCAGGGGCGCCGTTCCCTCGCCCCGGCACACCACAGCGGCGATGAACCCGCCGTGCGCGAACGAGAAGCCCGCCCGGGTGACCTTGGAGGCGCGGATGAAGGGCTCCGACGCGCGGGGCTCGATGATCACCAGCGGGCCCGCGAGGCACCCCGCGAGGCTGTAGTCGCGGCGCTTCAGGTCGCCCACGAAGGGCGCGCTCGCGTACTTCTCCATGCGACCCCAGAACCCCAGCGGCAAGCGCTTCGGATAGATCCTCCTCTCCCCGCCCCTCTCGGCTCTCTCGACGTCGCCACGATCCCGAGGGCCCACGACGATGTGCACGATCTGCCCCTCGGCATCCTTGACGAGTTCGTTCCTGAGGCCGAGCGCCTCCAGGAGCCGGATCCGCATGCCCACGCGCACCCGGAGGAGTCCGCGCATGCCACCGGCGTTCTTCGGGTTGGCACTGTCCATCATCTTGGCGGCGCCCTTGACGCGCATCGTCGGGGCAGACCTGTCGGCGGCCTGCGCGAGGAAGAGGGGCTTCCTCAGGACGTCCGCGTCTCGCAGGGCACGCATGTACATCCACCGCGCCACGGTGTCCCAGTAGGACCCGATCACGTGGCCGTCCTGGATCCTCTCCTCCCGGAGCCGACGATCATCGGGCTTCAACTGCATGGCGTTCCACGTGGCCCGAATGGTCGGAGGGGCCTGCTTCCCCGGTCTGCGCGGGAACGCCACGAGATCCCGGAGCTTCGTGTCCTTGAAGCGGTTGGACGCCTGGAGCTCGAAGCACAGCGGCGTGATGCAGAAGAGTTTCATCACGGCCTGGCACTCTGGAGCGAGGTTGATGCCCGCCGCCGCCAGATCCTCGAAGCTGGAGATGAGCGACACCTTGCCCCCCGTCGGCTCAAGCTGCAGGAAGTCCCCCAGCTGGATCACGATGGGCATCTGGCCGAAGGCGCCGCCGACCTGGTCGCGCCCCCGCTCCTCCGCGCCCCAATCGGCCTTGTGTCCCAGGTAGGACCGGAACGCCAGCATGTTGTACAGGTTGGGCGAGATCATGCTCACCTCCTCCAGGATCGAGCACCTGGCCGCCCCCCAAGTGTCCTGCAGCGCTTTCAGCTTGCCCCCCGCGGGCATGTCCTTGCTCCTGAAGGACTGCGCTCCTATGACTCCCGCCCGGTGGCAACTCACGGCCTTATGAGCGCCCGTGGAGATGTTCGCGGCCTGAGGCCACTTCGCGCAGACTATCAGCGTGGACTTCGCCTTGCCCGGTTCCGCGGGGAGGAGCGCGCCCATGGCCGGCAGCGCGATCTCCTGCACCATGGCGGTCTTCCCGCTGCCGCCCTGGCCGAAGAGCAGGAACTGGAACGTCTTCCGCTTCGCGTGCTTGGCCACGCTGCCGCCCACGATCTTCTGCTCCTCGCCCCACACTACGTTGCAGGCGTTCGCGAACGCCGTGACGAACAGGGCCTGGTCGGGCTTCAGAGGGCGGCGCTCCTGCTCCCCCATGCTCAGGTCGACCGCGCCGTCCTCGAACTTCTTGACAAGGCGCTTGACGAGGTCGCTGGGCCGCTGCATCTCCTCCGACGGCCCCCACCGCGCCTGCGCCGCCTCGGCCGGCGTCGCGCCAGCGCCCGCTGCCCCGACGTCGTCCGGCGCGGGGGCGTCATCCACGGGCGCGTCCGCGTCCTTCGTGCCCCCTTTGGCGAATCCTCTTCCGCTGGGTCTCCACCAGGTCCTGCAGCTCGTCTGCGTCGAGGTCGCGCAGGGCCCTGAATGGAGCGATGACGCCCCCCCCCAGGGCGCGGGCTGCGCGCCGCGACGCGTCGGCGCCAGGCGGCCCGGGCAGCGCTCCGTTCTCCATCATCGTGGCGGCCTTCTTGGGCTCCTTCACGAAAGCCTGCGCGCGCTCGGCGGTGTCGAAGCGCAAGATCTGCCCGAGCGTCTCCGGGTCGAAGTGGTGCTCCAGGACCGCGCTGGCGCCCAGCTTCGCGAAGCCGTCCTGAGCGCGGACGCCCTGCGCCTCCACCTGCGCGGCGCCCGCCCCCGAGTCCTCGGCGCCCCCCCGGAACACGGGGGCCTCCGCGACCTGCGCGTCGCCCGTCTGCGGCCTCTTCGGCTTCGAAGCCTTCGCCTTGGAAATGCCATCGAAGTTGGCCGCGGTCTTCGTGGTCTCCAGGGCCAAGTACTCCTGCACCGTCAGCATACTGTCCAGCTAGTTGCCCAGCTCCGCGCACTGGGCGCACTGGCACGGAGGCTGCACGCCCCCGCGGCGGTCGCTGTGCTTCTCGCGCAGCGCAGACTCGACCTCCCCCGTGTTCCAGATGCTGGGAGTCGCCAACGACCCAACGTCATTCCTCAGGCACTTCGCCCGGGCCTTCTTCGCGAGTTGCTCCTGGGCGGTGGCGAACGACTCCCAGCCGCGCTGGAACAGGCCCGCGACGCCGTCCCCCGCGGGCTGCGCCGGCCACTCCGACTCGCCCTCCGGCGCCGCGCACAGGTGCCCGCACGCGCGGAGGTAGCGCAGCTCCTGCGTCTCGTTGGGCCCGTCGGCGTCCGGCAGGTGCACTGGCCGGAGCAGCGCCGACTTCATGAGGTAGTGCGTCTCCACGTTCGACTCCGCGCTCACCCTGTTCTTGACGCGATTCGGAACAGCTGACTGTAGTTCTCCTCGTACTCACGAGGCCTGCATATAGCCACTGGCGGCGCGAACGTCTTCCTCCAAGTGCCGTCCAACTGGCGGTGGACGTTCGCCCCGAGCAGCGACCAAGAGTAGCCCTGCCATTCCACGTTGGAAGCGCGGCCCACGCCCAGGCGCACAACGTGCAATTCCTCCAGGCACGCCCACATCGATCGGAATACCACCTCGAGCGATATCACGGCGGCGGCGGGCGCCGAGGCTCTCACGATAAGATGCCCGTCGTCGTCGCACCCTCGGATCGCGGCTTCAAGCTCGCTCGACCACGTCGCGAGGCCAGCGCTCCGCCCCTCGCAGTGTCCGCGCCGCTGGTCCACGCCCAGGGCGCGGCGAATCCCCCGCACCAAGCCGCGCAATGACTTGGCGGGAGGGCGGGGCTTCGGGGGACGGGACCCAGTCAACTCAGACATCACTTGCCCAGGAGTGAGGGCGCCGATCTTGGCAAGACGGAGGGCGGCCTTCACGACATTGCGCCTCTGCTCCATGGTAGCCGAATGCTTCGCTTTCGCCCTCGGAAGCCTGGCCGCTCCAGCGTGATCACCTCTCTCCTGAGCGCTGAGCTGATAGACTGCCGCATCCCGCCCAGCCTCTGGGCCCGCCCAACAACATGTCCAAAATAAAAGACTTTCCGTTGTTGGCGTGGCACCCGACGTGCTCCATGCAGCGGCCACTCAAGACCTCAACGCCGCCTTTATTCACCCACGTTTTGCAGAAGCCTACCTCTTGCTCTGAACGTTGCTCCCACGCCGTCCGAGCGAGCTCAATTCCAGGCTGCGAAGCGTCGGCCGCGCACATTTCGGCGGCGTTGAACGCGAAGGCGGCGGGCTCTGTCAGCGGCAAACAGAATCTCGAGAGCGTCGCGTCTGCCTGGGCCGAAGGCTCCGCGAGAGCCACGGCGTCAGGGGGCATAGGGCTGTCCTCAATTGCGAGCACCAGGGGCGGGTCGACGACGGGCACGCGCCCGCAACCCCGCAAGCGCCTCCGCGCGCCCGCAAACGGGGGGCGCACACGATCTGTCGCTGCCCCGCCAGGTTCTCCGTTATGCAACGCGGGCATCTGCTCGAGCTGCCACGCCCTCTGCTCCCGCGCCTCTTACCACCGCCGCGGAAGTTCGTGGCCCCGCGGGCGGCGCGCCGCTTCTGGCCCTGCAGCTGCGGATCGGCGCCCGCGCGGGCGGCGCACAAGCGGCTGTGGCTGGGCACCCTGGCCGGGCCGTTGGCAGCGCAGCGGGCGGCACCCCAGTTCTCACGCGGCTGCGACTGCTGGTCCGCGGCGCTGCTCGGGGCGCGGCTGAGGCTGGGTTCCCTGGCCGGGCCGCTGGCAGCGCAAAGGGCGGCACCCCGGTTCTCCCGCGGCTTCGGCTGCGGGTCCGTGGCGCTGCGACGGGCGCAGGCTGCAGCAGGAGACGCCGCGGCGGGCCGGCCGCCCCGCGCGCGTCGCCAGCAGCGCCTGCGCGCGTGGCTCCCGCGGCGGCCGCGGCCCCCGCGGCGCAAGGCGGCGTCGATGCCATGGTTGAGCCAAAACTGCAGAGGCGGTGTTTGGACGGCGATGGGCGAAGTTTGTCGCGTTTGCCCACTTTCCTCATCCCTCCGCCGAGGGACCGTGGGAACCAGGATTTGGGACAGATCGAAGCTGGAAAAGCCCGAAATCCCGGTTCCCGGCTCTGTCTGGCGCCCCAGGGACTCACGGCGGCCCAGAGGATGGCGGGAACCAGGATTTTGGACAGATCGAGGCTGGAAAATCCCAAAATCCCAGTTCCCGGCTCTGTCTGGCGCCCCAGGGACTCACGGCGGCCCAGAAGATGGCGGGAACCAGGATTTTGGAGAGGTCCAAGCTCGAAAAACTCAAATTCCCGGTTCCCGGCTCTGTCTGGCGCCCCAGGGACCCACGGCGGCCCAGAGGATGGCGGGAACCAAAATTTTGAAGAGATCGAGGCTGGAAAAACCCAAATTCCCAATCCCCGGCTCTGTCTGGCGCCCCAGGGACCCACGGCGGCCCAGAGGATGGCGGAAACCATGATTTTGGAGAGATCGAGGCTGGAAAAGCCCGAAAGCCCGGTTCCCGGCTCTGTCTGGTGCCCCAGGGACTCACGCCGGCCCAGAGGATGGCGGGAACCAGGATTTTGGACAGATCGAGGCTGGAAAATCCCAAATTCCCGGTTCCCGGCTGTATCTGGCGCACCAGGGACCCACGGCGGCCCAGAGGATGGCGGGAACCGGGATTTTGGACAGATCGAGGCTGGAAAAGCCCGAAATCCCGGTTCCCGGCTCTGTCTGTGGCGCCCCAGGGACTCACGGCGGCCCAGAGGATGGCGGGAACCAGGATTTTGGACAGATCGAGGCTGGAAAAGCTCAAATTCCCGGTTCCCGGCTCTGTCTGGCGCCCCAGGGACCGTGCACGGCGGCCCAGAGGATGGCGGGAACCCAGATTTTGGAGAGATCGAGGCGGGAGAAGCCCGAAACTCCGGTTCCCGGCTCTGTGCTTTCTGCTGCTCTGCTGCTCTGTGCTCTCTGCTGCTCTGCTACTCTGTGCTCTCTGCTGCTCTGCTGCTCTCTGCTGCTCTGTGCTCTCTGCTGCTCTGTGCTCTCTGCTGCTCTGCGCTCTCTGCTGCTCTGTGCGCTCTGCTGCTTTGTGCTCTCTGCTGCTCTGTGCGCTCTGCTGCTCTGTGCTCTCTGCTGCTCTGTGCTCTCTGCTGCTCTGTGCTCTCTGCTGCTCTGTGCTCTTTGCTGCCCTGTGCTCTCTGCTGCTCTGTGCTCTCTGCTGCTCTGTGCTCTCTGCTTCTCTGTGCTCTCTGCTGCTCTGTGCTCTCTGCTGCTCTGTGCTCTCTGCTGCTCGGTGCTCTCTGCTTCTCTGTGCTCTCTGCTGCTCTGTGCTCTCTGCTGCTCTGTGCTCTCTGCTGCTCTGTGCTCTCTGCTGCTCTGTGCGCTCTGCTGCTCTGTGCTCTCTGCTGCTCTGTGCTCTCTGCTGCTCGGTGCTCTCTGCTGCTCTGTCCAAATCCGATTGGTTTTCGCTCGATTGGTTCTCGCTTGAACGGATTACCTTTTCGCTCGAACGAGCGTCTTTTCGCTTTAACGATCCACCCTCTCACGAATATGGAGGCAGTTTCGCAGATCGCAAGTCACGAGTGGAGAGAGGAGAGAAGTATTCATATTGTGCAATTGTGCAGGTGGGGGTAGCGGGAGGGTGAGAAGGGAGGGAGAAGGAGAGGGGGGAGGCAGGAGGGGGGGTGGCAGAGGGGAGGGGAGGCAGGAGAAAGGGGAGAAAGGCAGAAGGGAGAAGAGAAGGAGGCGGCAGCGGGGGCAGGAGGGGGCGAGAGGAAGGGAGAGGTGGTGAGGGGGAAGGGGGAAGGAGGAGGAGGAGGAAAAAAGAAAGGAGGCATTGAGAGAGAAGCGCAGGCGAAGGAGGCACCTCTTGCGCACGGTGTTACCGAGGAGGAAAGACTATGTCGACGAGGAGGAGCAGGAAGAGAAAAAAACAGCAGAGAAGGCGCAGGAAAAGGAGAAAGAAAAGGAGGAGGAGGAGGACGACGACGACGACGACGAGAGTAGGGACAAGGAAGGAGTGAAGGAGACGATAAGCAGGAGGAGAAAGAAGGGAGAACTTTCTCTTTCTCCTCCTCCTCCTCCTCCTCCTCCTCTCCTCCTCCTGCTCCTCCTCCTCCGATCTACTACTCACCAGAGACCTCCTCCTCCACCACATCCTACAATTCCTCCTTCATACCCCCATCACCATCCACGACGTCAACGCCATCACCACCACAACCGCCGTCATCACCATCACCGCCGCCGTCATTACCACCATGAATATCGAAACCACTACCATAGCCATCGTCACCGTCAACGTCCCCATCATTGTCATTACCATCACCTGCTGGCGACATCAAGCACGACGACGACGACGACGAAGACGCTGACGACGACGATGTTGACGACGACGACGACGACGACGACGACGACGACGGCGACGGCGACGGCGATGGCGATGGCGACGGCGACGGCGACCGCGACGGCGACGGCGACGGCGACGACGACGGCAACGGCGACCACGACGGCGATCACAACGACCACGACAACGACCACGGCGGC